AACTACTTGGTTTAGCGAGATCGTCCCGTCTTATTAACCAAATAAAGCCAACTTGTTCACCTTTTGTATTCATTTATATTCTCAGTCTTTCACTTATGTTTGATGAGAACTATTTGACAAACTCCGTAAGCGTTAGAAAGACAAGCCAACTTAATGATATGAAATAATATAGCCCCTATGGACAAATCACCTTGAAACCTCAACCGTTCATATAATTAATTTTGCGTAATTCCCATTTCAACCTGTAATCCGCTGATGCTGGCGTACATTTCATTTCGTTTGAGAAGGCGTGTCGAAGGGATTCGCAGATTGGCCTCGCCGGATATCGCAGGAGGGTTGCCTTGGACTTTTGTCTGCTGAATTGTGCGAAGAAGACCTCGGTTCACCAGCTTACGACCCCGATGACTCCGTGCTGAGCTCTCGTCCGTCCTGTGACGGACATCGTTAGAACCAGAAACCATTATTCACGAAAAATCACCAAAGAACACTAAACCGAAAGAGGGTGATCAGCTGAGATCCTACATACCTTTTATACCTTACTTTGCGATCTTATTGAGGCATTCCGTAATTTGGTTGGCTGACGTCTTCTGGTAGAATTGACCTCCGAATCTCTTCACTAAACACTCACTCGAAATTGAAGTAAGCATAACAATGACGTATGCATGTAAGTGGGTCAAAGTGATGCAAGCAGGGGGGCAAATCTGGTCACAACTTTTGTCAATGTAAATAAACTGGAGCGCGATCCAGCAGTCCTGGGTCTTGTTACAACTTCGTAGATGCGCGTTTTCTTGTGTATGCAATAAACCCGAAGTAGTTGACAATTTTAGGTTCAAAAACAAGCTCCAGTTTAGTATAGTTTTCTCCTTTTACTTAGTGGCTCTTCCTGTTCCATTTCCTTCTTTCTCTCTCTCATTTTATTTAGAAGCCAGAGATAGTTCCTACTTAGTTTCCTACATTCATTCCTCTTATTCAGGATGTTATTGTTTTGTTAATTTCAATCGACTCCTTGATCTTTCGCTTAGCTGTGAAGTCCCCATATCCAGCAAAACTTTGGGATTTATACCACTCTATCTGGTGTCCTGTAGCCATCACATGTTCAGTCATTTCCTATTTCTGAATTTATAAGCTTTTGCAGGTGGGGGAGACTTGTCGACACATACATCAAAAGCCATCAGAACACAAAACCTGCAAAAGTTTGTGGATTCAGACATTGGAAGTGTGCTAAACATGTGGTCGCTACAGGACATCAGATAGAATAGTCTAAATGCCAACGTTTTGCCGGATATGGGGACTTCACGGCTAAGCGGAAGATCAGGGAGTCGATTGAAATTAATAAAACAACAACATCCTGAATAAGAGGAATGAATGTAGGAAACTAAGTAAGAATTATCTCTGGCTTCTAAATAGTATGAGAGAGAAAGAGAAGGAAATGGAACAGGAAGAGCCACTGAGTAAAAGGAGAAGTATATACAAAACTTGAGGCTGTCTTTGAACCTAAAATTGTCAACTAATTCGGGGTTGTTTCATACACAAGAAAACACGGATCCACGAAGTTGTAACAAGACGCAGGACTACTAGATCATAATATAGTTTATTTATATTGACAAAGTTGTGACCAGATCCGCTCCCCTGCCTGCATCACTTTGACCCACTTACACAAATGTTGGACAAGCATACGTCATTGTTGTGCTTACTTCCATTTCGAGTGAAAGTGTTATGTGAAGAGATTCGAAGGTCGATTCCACCAAAAGATGACGACGGATTCAACCAAATCATGGAATGCCTCAATAAGATCGCAAAGTGAGGTATAAGAAGTAAATAGGATCTCAGCTTGCCACCCTATCTCGGTTTAGTGTTTTTTTGTGATTTTTCGTGAATAATGGTTTTTAGTTCTGACGATGTCCGTCACAGGACAGATGAAAACCCAGCACAGCCATCGGAGTCATAAGACGGTGAGCCGAGGTCTTCACACAATTGAACAGAAAAAAGTCCAAGGCCACCCTCCTGTGATATCCGGTGAGACCAATCTACGAATCCCTTCAACCGGCCTTCTCAAACTAAATGAAAGTTACATCGGTATCAATCTATTAAGAGATTCTTTGAAACCAAACTTTTCTTCGTATCTCATTAATCTGTTCGTCCTTGCGTAGTATAGCCTCTATAAATGCCTTTTTCCGTGGTACTCATCAGAGGAGCACATTCGAAGCACCAAAGCGCGAATTATTTGGCACTTTATTTCATAACAGCTTAGGCTGCAATACTCATACTTATCCGATTTCAACCCTTAGAGAAATTTGAATACTCTTAAGTTGTACAAGCTGTAGCAATGATAGAAGTTGTTTGAGCCTGTTTTCGCAACTCGGTCATATTGGTAGGAAGACTTAGAGGAACGAACCTAGTCAGGAGTCCATTATACATATTGAAGGCAGCAACTGCTACAGACGACGATAGGACAAAGGTAGTAAACCTATCTCCAATCCCTCTGGATTCTGAAACTAAAGATCTCTTAAAGAAGGGGCTACATTTTTCAGTAGGCAATGAAGGTAACGTTCTTAGTGATATTCTGGTGGAAGTTGTCAAAATAACCGATAAATATCCAGAAGGAGATGGAACTGGAAATAATCCTACGAATCCTGGCACATCAAGAACCGATACACAGGAGCAAATTGGCTGGTATAGGAAAAAAAATTACAAAAGAATGATCAAATAGTTCTTCAGGCGGATAAGGCAGGGGCAACGGTTGCAATGGACAAGAAACAATACACGGAGAAAATGGAAAGTACACTTGGCGACCGGAACACTTATCAAATACTAAGCAAGGATCCAACCACGAAGATCAACGGCGCACTGAAGAATATGCTTAAGGAAATGCATAATAATGGGGAATTGACAAATCGATGATTAAATCTTTAATAAAAAATGACACAAGACCACTGACAGCCTACGGACTACCAAAGATACACAAGGAAGGGAATCCTCTAAGATTAAGGGTCAACAACAAGCATGCAGCAATGCATAAACTAGCGAAATTCATTTGCATGAAGGTCAAGAAAGTAAATGACAGACTCTCGAATACCGGTAAGAATTCATGTGAATTTTCTCAAAGGATCCAGAACATTGGGTTGGTGGGGTCGAAACTGTTGATGAGTTTTGATGTAAAATTCATGTACACAAACATCTCATGCGGTAAGCGCATTGCTGGAGATATTGGAGCGAGAAGAGGATACGGAAAGAATCGTCAACACGACTGATTAACCTGACAGTAAGGG